TCCCTTCCTCCTCCCCTCCCCTCTCCTCTATCTCCTCTCCTCTCCTCTCCTCTCCTCTTCTCTCCTCTCCTCTCCTCTCCCCTCGTCTTCTCTCCTCTCCAGCCCTATCCAATTAGACCCGATCCGATGCGATCTGATCAGATCAGATCTCATCCGATCCGATCAGACTCGACCTGACCCGGTCCTACACGATATCACTCGACTCGACTTGACAATCTTATTCAGAATCCCATTCAATCTTAGCTTGCTGAATGTATTGGACGTCCCTAATGTCAGCTTCATGAGTTTTTAAAATTGCCCAATCGTGCATACCGTCGTATGCATACTGGTTTCAGGGCCGTTCATGTTCAGGTTCACACATTGTGTTCCGTAATGTTCAACCATTTTCGCTCGCTCACCCTGGTTAGGCATTGGTCAAGCTGGGTATCTCCCCCCCCCCCCCCCCGGTCACGTTGGGTACGTCCCCTCTGCCCTGGTCACGCTGTGGTTGGGTGTGATATGTCCAAAACGTAACGTCCCACGAAAACTAGAGATACGAAACAAATGGCAGGCGTGTTTCCTGCAATGAGGAGAAGGCAACAACATCTGGCTTAATTTCTGGTTTGTTTTTAAAGGCATTAGCATGATTTTCAACCACACCTGAGCGTCATGCTACGCCATTACAATATCTCCCACCTTTTTATGCTACACTGCATCCCCCCCCCCCGCTCCATACAGGCATAAGTTTTGGACGACCCCTCATGCACTCAGTGAATAAAGTATTACTTAAGGACTCCGATGAAGCAAAAAGCATGCTTTTGGGAATATATTCATGGGCGAATTACCTGGATGGGCCTGGGGTTAATGTCATTATTGATCACAGCGTTCTGTGCACGTGCACGGACAAATCCATTCTGTAGCCATTTTCATAAAGGACAATTACTACTTTCTTCTGGCTGGCCGAAGAAATTTTGGCGTAGCTCGCTACTTCCTACGCTGGCTCCATAAGCCAGGCAGCACCCCTCCGGGGAAAATCTTAAATACCGAGGCTGAAGTAATTTCATTCTTCGTTTCAATGAGATGTCTGGATGCCTATAATAAATCAAGGAATAAGTTGGAGGTGGCACAAAAGGTGTAATCATTTGTCGTTTAGCTCAGTACTAAGTTTGTGATTTGTGTGACGATTAATTCATAGACTAACTGCGATCACCTTTTAACTCGCTGAAATGCAGACTTTGTTATTGCTCCGCTGCTTGCAGAACCCAACAAAGTTGTTTGGTTCGTGTGTTCACATTCTAAGCGTCCCTGTATAACGCGTGAAGGCGTTCCCTGAAAGAAGCTGACTTTATTCTTACTCTAGGTTGTGCTGTGGACTCGCATCATGTCTGTCCGTGTCATAGCAGGAAAGAAAAAACATGATCTCGTGAAATACATGGCGTGTGGAAAAGAGGAAGATTTTCATAACGGACTGCAAACTTCATCCACCACAGTTCGTGGAAAATGTTTGTGATGCCTACAAAGTTACAACACGCACTGCATTTGTATTGATTGCCTCACATATGCGTACACATTCGCCGTTGACATCTTGACATCGCTTCATAGCTCAACAATATGTCACTGGAAGTCGATTCTCGTTCTAAATGGCCTGTTCGTCCTCTCCTGCATAGTCATGTGCCGGCTCCTCTATGATCACCACTGCTGATTTTACGGCGGATCAGAGACATGTGAGAAATGTGCGAAAAGCGATACAAATGCAGTTTGTGTTGTAACTTTGTAGGCATCACAAACATGAGAAAAGAAGTGTGGAGGATAAAGTTGGCAGGCTGGTAGGAATACTTACTTTTTTGTCACTTGTGACGGAAACCACGAGATCATGTTTTTCTTGTTTTGCTGTGGCACTGAGAGACACGATATAGTTGCACAAAAACGTAAGAACAACGCCAGCTATTTCAGGGAGCTTTTGTCGTTGAGGTGCATGTTGTATTCACACGTAGTGCAGTGTGTGTGTGGGGGGGGGGGGGGAGGCGACTAAACGGTCAACAAAACCTGTAGACGACGCCACGCTCCGAACCTATCACACCGATCGGCACCAAATCTTCATGAGCCGATGCCACTTGGTCGATGATATGCCCTTTCCAGAATATGGTGACCTTGGATCTGGTCAAAGGGGTCACCATATTTTGAAAAGGATGGGTTTCCGACCAAGCTGGATCGAAAGGTTCAGTGTGGGTCAATAGCACAACCTGGGAGCACAAGGCTATCAACGTGTTTTGTCCGCCGTTTAGTCCCTCCCAGTACAGGGAAGCTCGGAGCACGAACACAGGAACAAAACAGATGTGTTTACTTCTGCAAGTGGCGGAACTATATCAATAATTAATTGATGTACGCAACTCACCGAATTAAAAAGTGATCTTGATTACTATATGAATCAATTGTCAAACAAGTGAGAAAAATATTGCTGACTTGGCCCATTGGTGACCATACCTTGTATACTGTTTTAGCGATGTTTCTGAATTGATTATAGGCATCCAAACGTCCCGGGTCCAAAGCGACAACACCATTGTCACGGTATTCACCGCTTGCATCACTAGTGAAATTACTTTCGGCCTCGGCATTTTACGACTTACTTCGGAGGAGCGCTGCCAGGTTTGTGAAACCAGCTTAGAAAGTGGGGAGCTGCGACGAAACAACTTTGGCCAGCCGAAAGTGAAATGCATTTTTCTATATAAGTTGGTTACTTGTCAGGGCAATACATCACCTGAGGGGGGGGGGGGGGGGGCAGCGAAAGGGAGGAGGGGCAATTGGACATGTTGCCATTGGCTGTGAAGCCACGTGGGGTGCACACCAGGTTATAACAGGACAGTCAATGATCACATCGAAAGGTTATCCACGGTTCTGATCGGAATGCCCTGTGACTACATCACGTTTTGATGCATTGAAAACGCGCAAGTCAGCGACTTGAATTTACTGACCGTTTGAAATAAGCCACCGATCCTTAGCCAGGTGGGGATGACATTTCTCCCCACTTGGCACAGGTTTGGGTATGGGCTGCCACTAAAGAAAACAGCCGGTTTACTGGGCCGTAGGGTTTGACGCCCAATTTGTGCTGGGAATGGATCACAACCTTTCACCAACGACCCCATTACTCAGCCAGTCAACCATCATCGCCCGGGGCTGCACAGTCTTCGTCGGGCCGCTCAGCCTCTCGGTGTGGCGATCAGGTTACCTCGCGGGGGCGCAGAAGACCTAATCAGCTGATCAACTCATTGGAACAGCGCGGACAGCCGTGAAAATACCACGGAACGCGCAGCGCCATCAGGCGGCGTTCAACACCATCCCGCGGCATTCGGCGGCATCTGGCAGCATTTGGCAGCCTCTGACAACATCTGATAACGTCTCGCAACATCTGACGGCATCTGGCACCGTTTGACGACATCCGGCAGCATCTGGCAGCAATAATGGAGCTGATGCGCCGACTGCGCCGTTGGGGCAGCCGTCCGATACTCGATGAGTCGCAGTCTGACGTGTGGCCTGCGCCCTATGACATCACACTTTATGAGCACATCGATGCCCCGCAAGAGGACGGCCAAGACGAAGGTCTGCCTGAGGATTTGATGGAGCTGCCCAACACCTACTGCTTCATCCCGCCAGACATTCTGCAGCACCTGTGAGTACGCGCCCGATGTGGCATCAGCAAAAATGTTCGACACGTGCAAGCATTTGCTGATGCTGATCGGTAGAGGAATTTCGTTATGCCTGACCCCTCCACACATACACACACTGAAATGATACAGTGGAGCTGGGAGCTCATGTGTTGATACGTGATCTCTTACGGTTCTCAATCTCCTAATGAGCTCGGAACCTGTTGCCAAACGCGAAAAAGGTACGAGTCTCCCCCCCCCCCTTCGGCGTAAGCGGCATGCCCATCGACAGTGTATACCCACAGTTCATCCTTCAGCCCGCCGCCTGCGACTATGTGAGACAAATGACAATGCCGCCGCCATGCGGCAGTCTGAGAGGGCCGCTGCTCGGCCCTAGGGCCTACAACGGACACCTATGGTACTTGATTTTGCCACCAGGTAGCGCACGTGCGGTATCCGAATATAGTGTAATCCGAGCGCTGTCGCGCGGTCTTTTCTCAGACAGCTTGCAATTGAGCAGATAGAATAGAAAAATTGGGAAATTCAGCTGAATATATTTCGTTCAATAGATATTACGGTCATTAGCATTCGTTTTTGTGTTTCAAGTGTCCGTGTCGATGGCTCACCTGGTTAGAGCTCCCGCCGTCCGATCCACCCACCCCTGGCGCGGTCTATTTGCCTTTAGGTGTCCGCTATTTGCTCTTGATAGCTATAGCTTGCGGTCGGTGGCAGCGGCTGCCTGAGAGGTCAGGTGACGTCAGAGGGCAGGACGGGCTGTACTGACCATTGCGGCGGGTTAAGCTTTCGTCAGCACATTTTGCCGTTGGCTTGGAATCGGGCTGCTGATCAAAATGGGGTTAGTTTTTGTATTTTTGTCTGGGTCAGCCTCCCCCTCCTCTCCCTCCCTCTGTCTGTCTGTCTCTCTCTCTCTCTCTCTCTCTCTCTCTCTCTCTCTCTCTCTCTCTCTCTCTCTCTCTCTCTCTCTCTCTCTCTCTCTCTCTCTCTCTCTCTCTCTCTCTCTCTCTCTCTCTCTCTCTCTCTCTCTCTCTCTCTCTCTCTCTCTCTCTCTCTCTCTCTCTCTCTCTCTCTCTCTCTCTCTCTCTCTCTCTTTCTCTCTCTCTCTCTCCTTCCCGCCAAGTGAGTTTGCAAAATTGCGCTCCTAGTCCTGTTTGACGCGCTCACTAAGATAAGTTAATCGCAGCTATTCGTGATGACTTCACCGCTTGATATATGATCTCGACGCATGACTTCACCACTGCATAATTATTTCGATGCATGACGTCACCACTGCATATATGGTCTCGACGCATGACGTCACCACTGCATATATGATTTCCATACGTGACGTCACCGCTGCATATGCGATCTAGGCGCCAGGGTCGCTGATGTTAAAACTTGTATATGGCGAGGGCTGACGCCCGGCGATTGCAACCAGAGGCATTTTGCAGCCGGGACGGACGTATGCTGCGTCCTGGAGAGCTGGGAACTCGCGGTCTTTCCATATGCACCTGTATCCGCAACCCTCACCACACTCACGTAGAAAATATGTGTCATCAGATAGGGGTGACACTGCCCCCGCCGGCTGGTCGAGTGACTTCTTTCAGGAGAGCTGGGTGTTAGTGAAGGTGACACCGGAAGATAGCGCACGCTCCGAGCGCCGCTACCATTCAGAGCTATCTGGCCGCTTGTCTGGATTAATCACCGGCTGAACTGGCGGCTGCCGGTTATTAGCTTTACTAGCTGCTGGCTTTCACCAATCAGTGACCGGCGTTGGCAGCCGCAGGGACGGTCCCTGTCTGCGGGGACAGTCCCTGCGGCTGGCTGTCCCGTCCTGTCCTCGACTGCAGCCGCCTGCCATTCACCGTCCACGAGGTGCCGCTGCGTGCGGGGACCGGGTGGGGTTTCCGTGTCGTTGGGGCTCTGTCCTGTATGATTCGGGAGATAACTTTGGCGCTGACCAGGGCAGTGCCGCAAATGGCGCGTCCACCAGCCAGTGGCTGCTACTGATGGTACATCCACCAGCCAGTGGCTGCCACCGATGGCGCGTCCGCCAGCCAGTGGCTGCCAACGATGGCGCGTCCGCCAGCCAGTGGCTGCCACCGATGGTGCGTCCACCAGCCAGTGGCTGCCACCGATGGTACGTCCGCCAGCCAGTGGCCGCCACCGATGGTACGTCCACCAGCCGGTGGCTGCCACTGATGGTACGTCCGCCAGCCAGTGGCTGCCACCGATGGTACGTCCGCCAGCCAGTGGCTGCCGCGGATTGCGCGTCCGCCAGTCAATGGCTGCCACCGATTGCGCGTCCACCAGCCAGTGATGCAGCCAAGCAAAAAATGTTGAGACCATGCTGTGTCCCCATCGCCATCTGGCAATGGCTGGGGCCCGTACTTTTTGGCAGCTTAAGACGGCCATTGAGCTTTTAAAGCATCACAAACTGGACCTCAATGCATCAAAATGGAATTCCGAGTCTAAAAAGGTGCTCCAAATCTAAAAACAGGCCCTTAGAGCGACCCAGTGCTGCCACCTCGGTTGGAAAGGCCCTCTATACCCGATTTGGCCTGCTGGACAAAATCCTGGCTGCGTCCCAGCCACCAGTAGTCCTGAAATATGGCCTCATGCCTTCAGCGTTGCACGTAAATGGAGGACCTGAAACGCACCTTATCGTAAAAATGTTTCTCCGTCCCCCTCCGTCTCAATCTTTTGCTGGTGGCGTCGCCATCAATGTCGATCTCAGTTTCAACCTACTGCCCCTTACCTTATATTGGTCATTTCAACTATTAACATTTACGAAACGATACAACTGCATCACTAAATGCAAGGCAGCAGCTCGACAGACGAAAGCGTCCGGCATGCAGCATGTTCATGCATTTAGTCCGTCAGGCACAGTGTGACCAAATGGCCCAGCCCTTTCACGCGCTCTTGATTAGCACGTGGTTCGAAGGGCCGGTCGCTTGCTAGACGACCGCTCAGACAGGCAGTCCAGCAGTCGCCTCGGCCGTGCCCTCCGGCCAAATACGGGCTGCGTCGCCGGGCAGCTGAGCCGACCACTTAAGCCAACGTGATCCCCGCTCAGAGCCAAGTCCGGTTCGGACGCGAAGCGTGCTGCTTCCTGGGGTTGCTGAGGCTATGGCGCGCGCCATAGCCCCGCGCACGTGGAGTGAGCCTGCCGGCTCCGTTTTGGTGGAATGGCCCGCCACGGTTAAGGGTTTCGTGAGACTCCGTTTGATATGCTCGTCTGGTTTGGGGTGACATCAACTTAGACAACCTCAAAAGTATGTGCCATCGTCACTGAAATCGCGTGGCTTGCGTTGCTGGCCTTAATGCGGGCTGGGGGCGGAGAGCCTGGTCATTAAAACCATAGGCTGCTTTGGGCGGCCTCGTGCGTGCCGAGGCCCGGCAGGGATGATGATGAAACACCGACCGCACCTGCCGCCAGATCACGGGTGCCGCTCCCTCGGCGGGAGCTTTCCCACGGGGATGACGCAGTCGGCTGGATTGAGAAGAGGGCCAGGCTGCTTTTACTCTGAAGTCAAAGTTGAACCGAGTCAGTCTCGAACCAGGGCCGTTCTGCTTCACGTATTTCGCTAGCTTAACGTTCGTGTGCTCTGGGGCTGTTCACCATGTAGACTCGTAGTTATCTCAGCGATCATCAGCTACAGTCTGGTAGCGATCAGTTGAAGGAAATCAAAAGGCGGTTTTAGGGGAATTTGCCGAAAGGCAGATTTACTAGGCCCAAAGTTGGATAGCAATAACAAGCCACAACGGTTTCGTTGCATTTGTCTCCGCTCACATTTATGACATGTCTGTTAAGATTTCCACCGAATTTCTCTAGTTTTAATGGTAGGCGCATCCACCTCTGGTCACTTTCACCGACATTCTTGTTACTACACCAACCATTTCTAATGTTAACGAATTTTTATCTCAGGACTGGCGCGGCAGGATACATTAATTTATGGGCTCGGTGTTAAATGCATCGTTATGCATTTTTTATGGGCTCGGTGTTAAATGCATCGTTACAAGACATGCCACCATAGTAAAAGTTTCTACTCGTCATGTTTTACAGTTCTTTGCTAGATATGCCTGAAGATTACAAGAAAAACCACAAAGTCAAAATCGGGAATCACAGACGTGCACACACATCAGGAAAATACCTCAAAACTGCACTAACCTTTGTCGTCAAATTCGCCGAACTTCAAACAGATTGAGTCTGTAGAGTTCCGGCAAGTCTGCAGCAATCGCAGAGTACAAAACTCGATCATGGCAAGCTCCCCCTCCACCCCCCTCGTTTTGCGGTGTCATGGCGGGTGTCCGCGCTGCGGGTATCCAAATTAAAAGCGAGTGGGAAGTGGATGTCGGCGCTGCGTCTGCCATCTCGTGGCGGTTGGAGGAGGCTTCAAACTCGGACCGCGGGGCACTCGATGCTGAATGTTGCTTTGGAGAAACTGTTCAAAGGGAATAACCTGATGAAGGTGCCGTTTCACTTAACTAGGGCATGCTCAGTGGGGACGTTCTTAAGGCTTCACGGGACAGTTCGACCGACTAGGGTGCTCCTCCGCGGGCCAATAATTTGGTACGGAGGGCAATGTCTGCAAGAGCGTTTTTGGCATGCAACTCCATAAGCGTGTGTCTAAATTTCGAGAAAAAATTGTAAACTTACCTATACATTTGTCTGCTGGCCTAGCCCTGGAATCGATTCCATGTATTTGGCCTGCTTAACGGCCCGGTAGGTGGCAGCCTGATCGTGAAAGCTCAGCTTCTGAGCCTTGCCACAGATGGCGCTGTTGTTGCTTCCCACTGACCGTAAGGCTCTCGTTCGGCGGGGCTGCGTTTGCAGGTCGCGCCGGTCTGCTGTAGAACAAAGAGAATCCATGCCCGAAGCGCTTACGACACATTCACATGCCGCAATGTCTTGGTTTGGTTACATGTCTTTTGACCGCGAGTGATCATTTAGAGCAGTGAAGGGAGGCGTGAGTGGTTATCAGCCCCTGGCACTCGCCCCTCTTTCCTCATTCCCGCTATCTTCTGC